TAAGAAATAATAACGTCATAAATATGAATCTATTATCATGTACCAAAATAGGTGGCAAAAAGATGTACAGGGGAACAAAAAATAGATTTATACGAAGAAATTAGGAATGATAAATATGTTTTTGAAAAGTATTTAGATTAATACAAATAAAAACCATGGGATTGCTCTGGCAGGGATAAAGACAGAAGAAAGACTGTATGATTGTAATAAAATTGAAGATGAAAAACATTACCTATTTTATTGTCAAAATAGCATTATCAAAGAATGTTGAAAGAAATTTCTCTCAGCTCTCTCCAAGTATAAGCCACTTTTTTCAAAATTTCAGTATTGATGACCTATTCATTGAAATTCTCTCCAGTTATGACAAGTTTATGCTTTCCAACTTTCCAACTTAACATAAATATGGAAGACATTGTAAGGCAATCCAGAAAATCAGATTTGGTAATCTGATAAAAATCATTAAAAAATTACAGTATTTTTTTGACGGTCGAGGGAACATTTCAGGGAAAATATTTTCTAATGAACCCCAGACATAAATAACCCTATTTTTTTCGCCCCTCAAATAGAGTTCTATTCTCTCCTCATCATCAATGTTTCCATGGTTACACAGGTTATATTAAAGAAGAGGGGATAAGATGACAGGTCTTGTGTCCTTCTGTCTCTGCATGAGATGTTTGAGGTCATGTAGCATGCACAGAACATGAACATGTTAAATATCAACCATTGTGAACTGCATGAACAGCTAAGTAAAATTAGATAAGGCAATCACAATTTAAATATTGAACTTTGGCTGGCACAAGATACCGAAAACACCAGTTGAAAAGTTGAAAAAAGAATGTGTGACCTACATAAACACAAATTAAAGATGAATTCCATCTAATATATATGAACAACAAAGAAGTTGAGGAAATGACCAAACACATAAAAAAAATGTTATGGTCCGTTGAGCCAAAAATGAAAACTGGGCACCGGGAAAAATACATGACAGGGGTTGCAGGAAAGAATGTTGGCACATTCAAGAAAAATAAAAATGTACAGACAAGCCACCCGGGGTCACACTCACACTGTTCCAGCCACTTCCCATAGTTATAAATGCTTGGCACCTTATGGACAGTAATCAGAACAAGGTAAATAAGTCAACATTCGTATGCCATCGAATCACGTACAGCGCAAACTAATCGGGAATGTTAACAGTAAACAGTCCTACCAACGCTACTTATCATTAATAGCAGCATAGCATACACACGAATATACTGACAGGTTCAAAAAGGATACAACATCAATACGATCAACGTATTTTGTTGTATTTTGCAGCTGCCGACGCAGAACCTCCAACCTCTCCGCCATGATGATTGCTGTGTGCGCCCTCATAGCCCTGTGGCTGATTTTTTTAAATCAAAAGTTATCTGTATCCCCTTGGCAACATACGTTTTTGTTTATATTATATATACATTTGTACTATAATTTCGAAACTAAAATTTCAGGTATCAGAAAATAAAACAAAATCTTATTTCGTCATTTTGTGTCTGATGAACTGATTTCGTCCTATGATTGGGGGGAAAAGCAAACTCTTATTTTCCCTGAAAAAAGATCAATACAACAAATGAATTTAAAATACCACTAATACAAACTCCTTGTCCGTGAGAAATTCACTTCATGATATCTTTTCATGAATTCTGGTTGGGGGATTTAAAGCATAAAACGTGTTTTTTTTTTTTCTTCATGGTACATTATATCCCATTGAGTCACTAAAACACAAGCACCGTGGCTGAACACTTCCTTTATTTGTCTTTATTAGTGTTCTTGGTAAAGTCAATTTAAGTAGAACCGACGAGCTTAACAGCATTGTGTTTCGAATAAGCATGGGCAGAGCATATGACAACAAACCGAATTGCATAGTCACGTATGAACTGACTCTTATACCAATTAAATAGCATGAAATGAAACATAGTATAAGTTTAAAGGTGACACGTACACACAGAGGAATTTATTTCTCATTCAGCCGTCATTCGAAATATAGAGTGGTGTACAAAAATGTCAAAGCATTGTGATATACTTGATAAAAATATTTATTGTAAATTAACAACAAAATGTCTTTGAAACAAACTTGAATGTGACACAAAACCATGGATCAATTAGATAACCAATGGGAATATGGTGAACCAAAATTAAAATAAATGTCAATACAATATGAACAAAACTAAGAATGAAACATACAAATATATCAATGCCTTCATGATCACTTCATGTATACACTTTCCCTCCTATATCAGTAAATTATATTGTTGATATATGTATGCCTATTCTGCCCTGTGTAATTTCCTTCAA